GTTGCCACTTCAAATCATCAAAATTAAATGAAATGAACATTTGAATGCATCAGTCTGTGTGCAATGAATAAATATAATGTACAAGTTACACCTTTTGAATGCATTACTGAAATAAATCAAGTTTTTCAAAATATTCTAATTTACTGGCTTTTACATGTATATAATGTAGTAATGTTTTTTTGTGATGCAGTGCTGTGCTGGCTTCTTGGATCCTGGAGGAACATTTAAACATCCTCGGGAAGCTCGGATGTGTGCTCTGTTGCAGTGGTGCGGTCTTGTTGATTATCCACGCCCCTAAAGAGGTGGCCGCATCTAGAGAGGAGTTCGAAGAAAGGCTGTCAGATCCAGGTGATGAACTCTTCACATTATTCGGATGAAATATGCTGGATTGCGTCGCTCACCCTTGGATTTTTCTGTCTCGCAGTGTTTGTAACTTACATCGTGCTCGTGGTCCTGCTTTTGATCGCTCTGATCGTGTGGGTCGCTCCGGCTCACGGCACATCCAACATCATGGTGTACGTCGCTATATGTTCGCTCCTGGGAAGCTTCACCGTTCCGAGCAGCAAAGGGCTTGGCTTGGTGGCCCCTGATGTGTTTACTGAGGGGCCGTCGAACACCAGAGCCCTGGCTCTCTTCCTTGGCCTGCTGGGGGCGCTAGCGCTCAGCATCCTGATCCAGTTCTTCTTCATCAATAAAGCCTTGGAGAGCTTCAGCTCCAACATATTCGAAGCTATATATTACGTGACGTTCACGTCCACCGTGATCTTTGCCTCTGCCCTCCTGTTCAAGGAGTGGACGGCACTCACGGTGAGCGACAGCCTGGCCATGCTCTGTGGTTTAACAACGGTGTGTGTAGGAGTGATCTTACTTAGAATCTCCCAGGAAGCTCTGATTACTTGGAAGGAGAAAGAGGCACGGACAAAATCAGACTGAAACTCTGTTTGCTCTGAACTACCTCCCATATTAGTGACCAAAGCTACAAGATGCATCGGTCAGCCGTGACCTTTGACCAGATCAATGTGAGGAAGAAAACAGTGAGTGTGTCGTGGCAGTTTATAAATGAACAGAAGCTCAGATTTGGTATAAAAGAAAATGACATTCTGTGCCTAAAGGGTTTGTGTCAACAGCAGAAATAAGGATTCAGTTAACTCAGGGGTTGGCAAACCAAACTGCTCAAAGAGCCATATTGGACCAAAAAACCAAAAAATAAATCTGTCTGGAGCTGCAAAAATGTAAAAGTCTTATATATGCCTCGTATGAAACTAAGTGTATTATCCCACTATAGAAGAGGACTATGTGGGCTGAAATGTAAAATAAGCATTAAAGATTAAATGTTTATCCTGGAGCAAATGTCACATAGCAGGATGAGGTGAGGGAGGAAATCTATCTTTGCTCTCCTTTCATTTATCCAGAAGTTCTGCAAATGCACTTTTTCTCTCACTCCCAACTTTGTGATCAGCTGCGTATTTACCGGTAGTCTTCCCTGGAAACTTACTTTCCTTTTTCTTTTTTCTTTTTTTTAAACCTCTCATTACAAAGTAAAAATGCAGGCAATCCTTCCGCATTGATAATGAAAGCCAATGACTAATCCATTCTTTGAATCCTCTTTTCTCATCACCTATCTTCCTTTTTTCCCTTTGGAATCCATGGTCTGAGAAACACCTGCAGGTTTGTTTGCCCGGCACCACGCCGCGCTGGTTGCAGGTTATGACCACTGATCTCTATGGTTATGACTCAAATTTAAATGTATTTATTATACAAATATTTACAGCATTGGAAAACAATTAATGTTTGTTTGACCTCCTGCACGAAGCTCCAGAGAGCCGCAAGGGGGCGCTAAAGAGCCACATGCGGCTCTGGAGCTGCGGGTTGCCAACCCCTGAGTTAACTTGAAAAGAGGCTGTAAAGCTGAATTATAGTAACTATAAGGTGCCTTGCAGGAGTACTTATCTCACAACCACAAATTTGAACACATTTTATTTTATACAGTCAGGTGACATCTTGCTGATTGGTCATTCTGCGCTCTTTTGGGCGACAGACCATGGGCCAGAATAGGATAGGCAATGGACCAGTACACCCATAAAACTGTGTTTACATTAACATTTAAATTGCCCAAATGTTTATAACGAAAATAAATCTGCTAAATATAACCACTGCAATTTAAAAAACTCACATTTTTCACTTAAACACTTTTGCGCTTCACATGGAAATTTTTCTTATTATTTTCCACAAAACTCTAATGAAAAACACTTTTTTGCAATGATCCACAACTGGACCTTACTGCCTTGTGAAAAAAACAAACTGCGAAGGCCAGGGCTGTTTGCAGGATGATAGTGGGACTTATTTGGATTTATAGGGAGACTGAATTAAATCTAATCAAAGTTTATCTATATAGGACTTTACAACAACACCAGGAAGACCAAAGTGCTTCACAGAAAGATAAAAACGTTGCATAAACAAAAATAAACTAAAATCGTAAGCATAAAAAAATGTGTCCTAAGTCTTAAAAGCCATTTTTTTAAAAATGAGTCTTTGGGCGTGCAGGTTGCGCTGTGGTTAGTGAGCACTACCCATATACGGAGGCCTTAGTTCTCGACGCAGCAGACCCGGGTTCGAATCCAGCTTGTGGTCTTTTCCCGCATGTCTCTACCTCTCTCTCATACCCCCTTTTACGGAAGAGGATTAGGGCCACTGAAAAAAAAAAAGTTAACTGATTTTTAAATTTTATTTCAGTTTAACATGGGAAAAAAAGTCAGAATTCTGAGTTTTTTCCCATACTAAACTAAAATAAAATGTAAAAATCAGTAAACTTTTTTTTTTTTTTTCCCACTGGCCCTAATCCTCTTCCGTACCCTTTCCTGTCAGCCTACAATCAGAAAAATGAACCACTAGTGCCATACAATAAAAAAAATTTTAAAAAAAGTATTTAATCTGGATTTAAAAAGGTGCAAATCTATGAGAACCCGCAGACCAAGGGGCAGGTTGTTCCATAGTTTAGGTGTGGTAACCACAAAGGAACGATCGCCCCACTGTTTATACCGGGACCTAGGGACGTCCAGAACCATTTGATCAGCAGACTGAGTATGTTTTACATTTAGCTCAGGAGATGAGCGCGATGAGCACTAGAGCTATGGCCGAAATATGGATTCTATCTTATATAAGTGTTTACATCCACTGCTGCCATGTGGTTTAAGAGTCATCGCGTGAACAAACACATTTATGTGGAATTTTAATTATAATTCTTATTTAATCGAAATACTGCAATTGGAAAACTTTGCATTTTTGTGTAAATACAGCTACTGTATTGCTGTTAAAGGAGAGGTCCATGTTGTTATGCAACTTTATATGTGAGCTAATCCTAAAAAGTCTCTTTCTCCTGCCTACGATGCTGGTAGAGAGATTGTGTCCATTAGTGGTAATCAATATTTATTCTTTTCTGTCTTTTGTAGATAAAACATTTTGCAGTTTAATTCTAATTTTGAATCAAGAGTTGGATTTTTTCAATTAGGGCCACATTGAGGAAAAAATAAAAGTATGCTTTCCCCCCTTTTTCTCACCAAGTCAGTAAAATCGAAATGTTTAGAATAGGGCTACAACTAAGGATTATTTTGCCATTATTTATTCGATTATTTTATCGATTAATAATCGGATAGCAAAAGAAGACTTTTTACGAAATTAAACCAGGTAAAACTAAATCTTTTCCACTTTAGGAGTTCTGGATAAAGCATATAGATTCTTATATATAGTTTCTTTATCTTAAATGCAGAATATTCATTTATTTTTTTCACAATGTTGGTATAATTACTGCTCTAAGTGGGTCACTCTTAACCTGACAACAGCCAGATGCATGCGGAGCGAGACATGCATCTGGCTGTTGTCAGGTTAGGTCACTCTATCAGCTAAAGGAATGTTTTACAGTCTATACTCCAGTTAACAATTAATCGATTGCTAAAATAGTTAACTATTAGTTCAATAATTGATTCATCCGATTGGTTCAGCCCTATATCAGAATTAAGTCTAACAGTTGGAAATAAAGTTGAAATATAGTATTTAGAATAAAGTTTTCAATAAGGAAAATTAAAAACTTCAAAAATAAAGCCCATAATAATGTCAGTGGACATGAATGATGACAGATCAGCTTTGCCGCATGTTTTTAGGCTTCGTAAGCCTACATCCTCTGAAAGGGAGCTCATGATGCCGTGCAAATTTAGGCACTTGGAATCATGTCCGTGCTTTGGCAATATCTTTAATTACATTATCACTATATTTCAATTTTATTCTTTACATTTTGACTTCACTAGCTTGGTGAGGAGGGCGGTGTTCAAATGCAGAGATTTGTAGAATAAAACGTTTTGAAATAGAGGTCAGAGAAGGAAGTGATGCCCATTGATGTTTGGTTGTCATGTGGAAAAAAAAGTAAAAGAAAATAGCAAATATTTCAACCACTTGTGATACATTGGCTCTTTGTGTTCAGTTTCAATATCAGGCAGGTAGTCATAATGATAAGGCTGACTGACCTTTACTCCCTATTATTAATTAATTCCAGAATAAACAAAACCTTCATTGTATAATGACTCCTAGTTGTTACCACTTTTTTCAAACTTCAGCCGTCCAATATTACCCCTATCAGAGTAAAGCAGTGGTTGTAAAGTGGGTTGTAAACCAATAAGGCTGCTTCAGGTCCTCTGCAGGGTACGTACATGACCTCCCCTGGAGTTATCTACTCCTGAACTTATACAGTGTCTGTTTGAATTATTCAGATGTTTCTGGAGCTCTGGTGGTGAATAAAACATGAGAAGAAACTGTATCTTCTAAATCAGAAGGGATTTGATTATTTGCTCCCTAAACATTGTCTGGAGCAGGTTATAAATGGCTTAATATTATCTATACTTAATTGTTTTTAACAATGTAATCATGATCTTTTTTTTTTATTTATACAGACTTGTTGATTGATTGAAAATGTAATAAAGCAATTCAAAAACATTCACATTGGAGATTTTTATAGATGTTATCTTATCACAGTCTTGCTCAGACGTAGCAAACAGTGATGTCACCGACCGTAGTCACTCTTTCTGCTAGCACAACTTTAATGACTTTATATACAGTGGGTACAGAACGTATTCAGACCCCTTAAAATGTTTCACCTTTTGTTTCATTGCAGCCATTTGCTAAAATCAATAAAGTTCATTTTATTTCTTATTAATGTACAGTCAGCACCCCAGCTTGACAGAAAAAAAACCCAGAAACGTTGAAATTTTTGCAAATGAATTACAAAAGAAAAATTTAAATATCACATTTTCAGAAGTATTCAGGCCCTTTGCTCAGGGTGAGTAGAAGCATCCTTTTGAGTCATGAGTCTTATGGGGATGATGCAACACATTTATCACATCTTTAAATTGGGGATCCTCTGCTATTCTTCCTTGCAGATCCTCTCCAGTTCTGTCAGGTTGGATGCTGACCATTGGTACAGACATTTTCTGGTTTCTCCAGAGATGCTCAATTGGGCTCAGGTCAGGGCTCTGGCTCGGCCTGTCAGGAATGATCACAGTGTTGTTCCCAAGCCACTCCTTTGTTATTTTAGCTGTGAGTTTAGGGTCATTGTCTTGTTGGATGGTGAACCTTGGGCCCAGTCTGAGGTCCTGAACACTCTGGAAGAGGTTTCCTTCCAGGATATCAGTACTTGGCAAACATTCATCTTTCATGATTGTAGCTCATGCTTCGTGCACTGGCACAGATAGAGGTCCACAGTTTGGTGCCAAGCCCAGGTGTAGAGGAGACCATGTTAGAAACAGCTGCTCAGATTTAAGACTTAAGAGGATGTTATGACAGAGTTGGGTTTAAAGTGGGGTTTGTGATCAGTACCACCTTAGAGTCCATAATGGAAAACATACAGCATACAGGATTGATTCACTGAAAATGATTAAATATCGCTCACACATTTAGCACCAAGCACTGCAATCAGAAAAGGTTTGAAATAACAGTACTGAGCTCAGCTTCATGCAACAGTTCAACTGGTGCACACAATGGCCTCAAGCACAACAGGTAAGTCCCACAGTGGGGTTAAGCTCCTCGTTGTCCGGCACCCTTCAAGAACTGGCACACCAGTCGGTTTGTTCCACGCTTTTGTCCTCAAATCCAAGATGACGAGCTGAAATAGGGACAAGGTATACCTTCACAGTAGAGAAAGCCAAGCCTTTATCCAGCAGTTCCTTCAAAAGTGTTATAATAACTGACACTGGGCTCTGCATGGCGCTCACCATGGTTTTTGTGCTCCAACTCTCGAATGCATGCCATTTATTCTCATGTGCTCTGTGGAGGCAGCCCTTACACTCTGAATTTTGTTAGCGACACTCTGGGAAAGCCCATTGGTGGTCAGATTCACCCTCTCCCAGGCCAGGAGGCCCAAAAAGCTATACGATCTGGATGAGTATGAAATATCTCCCCGTATGCCTGCATGAGGAAATCTCTGCAAGGAGGGAGCTGCAATGGCTCATCGTAGAGTGACTGGAAGATTTCGGTTAGCCATTGTCTCCAAGGCCAACAGCTTCAGAATGAGCATGTTTCCTTCCTCACACCCTGCTCAGTGTAGAAGGGATGAGTTCCAGTGGAGGAAAAGCATACAGTAGAACCTATGGTCACTTGTGTGCCAGCAGATCAAATCCCAGGAGAACGTCCTGCTCAGTCAGGGAGAAAAACCTCCCTGACCATCATCTCCTCTGATGCAAAGCTGATGCCTGGCCCTGCCTCTCCTATAATTGACTTACAACCTCATTGTGGAGTTTTGACTCCCTGTAGTCCAGATTGCCTCTCGACAGCATGACTTCTTCTCATGGTCTTGGTTCTGTTGTACTGTACTTTGCTCCTTGTTTTCTAGTTTTATTGGTTCAATTCCTGTTTTGTTGTAATTTCTAGATTTATGTTAGTTCTCATGTTTTTCTGTTGTCCTCTGTTGCCCTCTTGTGTGTGTGTGTTCCTTTCCCCTTGGCTCCCTCGTTATCTCCTCTCACACCTGCTCCTTGTCAGCTCGTTAGCCCTGCCTTTGTCCAAGTCAGCAATTTATACTCTCCCTCTGCTGTCACTCCTTGTTGGATCCTTGTCATTGCTGTCTTCCCATGCTGTTTTCTACCTCCCTCGTCTCTACCTGGCTCCTCATGTTTGGTTTCCCCAGATTCCGATTTGATTTATATTATTAGTTGGATTTTTGGATTCCTGCCTTTGTTTTCTGTTTTATCATAATTAAAACTGCAAGAAATCTCCTAAGCCTCTCCGCCTCTGCATCTGGATCCTCAAACCTCAACCAAACCCTGACACTTCTAGCATGTAAATCACTCTTATTGGCAACAGGGGTGAGCTGGTCCAGATTACCAGTCTGAGTGTCAGTGTGTTTACTTGTTGTGAGGGCAAACCGCCCTGTCTGTTGATGTAAGCAATCACAGTTATATTGTCTGTTCAGACTAAAACGTAATTAAAAAATGCAGAAAATGTTTTAGTAACATCGCGACCAGGAGCTCCAGATAGTTTCTGTGAGCTGTCCGTCAGTGAGCTCCAAATGGATTCACTGTCATGCCCTAGTGCGAGGCACCCTAACCTGTCAACGTGCATCTATAGTGATGACCATGCTCATTTAGATGGCCCCTATGGAAACCCCAGTTTTGAGAAATGTGGAGCTATTCCATGGGCTCAGAGCTTGTGCCTACGTTGGTGATACTGACCCTTCGGTGTGCATGGAGAACCGGGATCAGATTGATTGACACAACCCAACGTTAGAAATGTCGTGTAGGCAAACAGCCAAACTGGATGACAGCCAGCACTGATGCAACCACAGCCAGGAGTCTGTGGCAGAGCCTGATTGTAACGTGTGCCTCAGTTAAGGAGCGCCAGACAAGCCTAGAAGCCAAGAAGCCCAATCTGAACTCTTTGGAGTTTAGAGTAGTGATGCACCGATACTTCACTAAAATGGTGGTACCGGTATCTGCGAGTACCAACAAATAGGGCACGATACCATTTTGGGAGCCAAAAGTTTATTCAACTATTGTCACCCATGTTAGGTAGGCAATAAAAAGTTCTACTGGAGTCACTTCCTATTAGTCTTTTTCCTACTTCACAAAGGTAGGCAGCAGCTTGACAAAGCCATGATGGCAATTATTTTACATCCAAGTAGTATGCAGTTCTTCATATATACACACACACATTAATTTCAAACAGATGGTATCGGTATGGTATTGGTATCGGCTAATAATGCATAGCCAGGTATCAGGGCAAAAAATGGTATTGGCGCAACACTAGTTTAGAGACGGGCCAAAAAAGTGATTGTTTGCACTGGGGTTAAAATGCATTTTTTTTGCAATTTGAAAATCCCAGAGCTGTCAGATGAGATATAAGTATCACATAGTGCATCATGAGCTCCTCTGGGGACTGTGCTACAATTAGCAAGTTGTCTATATACATCACTAGATGTACGCCTTTCTCCCTCAGAGGTTTGGCTGCAGCCTTAGTGCATTTTACAAACATCCGTGAACATTCAGTTCAGTTTATTTCTATAGCGCCATTTCACAACACATGTCATCTCAAGGCACTTTACAGTTCAACCAGATCATCCAGTCAAATTGATTCAAAGTTTTCTATCTAAGGAAAACCAGTTGATTGCATCGACTCATTGACTCTTCCGCAATCCTTCACACTAAGCATGTTTGTAGCTTCAGTGGAGAGGAAAAACTCCCTTTTAACAGGAAGAAACCTCCATTAAAACCAGGCTCAGTGTGAGTGGCCATCTGCTGAGGCCAACTGGGGTTCAAGGAGACAGAAGCAGAGATACAAAAATCAACTGTAAAAGGCGGCCCCATCCAGGACACATACAGCCAGACAGACAAGCTTTGAGTCAACTCCCATGCCAAAGAATGAAGAGAGCACATCCAGCCAGTCACAGCCAGAGAAACAGGACTACACTGAAAAACAGGCTGATCTCCCAACATCTATAAACAACTGTGTTGATGGCAGCAGCACAGCTGATTTTTCTCCAGGATGGAGTCACAGCCAAACAGGAACAGACAAGGCGAAGCTACTATGAGACAAGGCAGACCAATGGCCTAACAACACAACAATAGGCCCGTAAGCAACATTATCTGGGTGGGCCCCATACGAACTACAACACCCCATCCCCCGCTGCCACTGCAGACAACCCTACACGCTTCTTCATTCTTCACCTTCACTAGACATGGACAACTTTAGTATATCCTGCTGTAAAATGAGTCTTATCGGGCTACCTTCAGTTTCACGGCCCCCCTCCTTACCCACGCTCTCTCCATTCATCTCCTGGTCGCAATCTTCACTCACTGAAGCAGCAACGTTCACCACTCCCTCTTCAGGTTCTTTGAAAGAATGTGTTTTTTTTTTTTGGGAAGTTTTTTTCCATTCTTCCAGCTGCTCTTTGCTTTTTCTTTTCTGGAATCCGCTTAAGTACCTCCTTTTGGTATCCATCGTCACTAACACATTATACGTAACGGTTATGGTTTTAATCGTCGCTCTGGATTACCCATAATTCAAAGTTGTATTGTAAAGAGTAAAATACTCAAATACATCGTTCTTTTAAGATCTTTATTGCGGTTTGAAACATAATATATATGTGGCCTATGTGGTTCTGGTGGCTTCTCTTAAGTGTGGCAATAAATGACACAGAGATCGAGTTGGCATCAGTTGTTTTTCTTTAATTCTCCATCTCCAGTTCACACAATGGGCATCAAGGTAAGGTCAGTCTCTGGCATAAAATAAGCTCCTGCAAGGAGGAGCCATAGTGTTACTCTGTGGGAAATTCCCACCACACTTTCTCATGAGCTAAACATTTCTAAACTGCTACAAAAACGTTATAATAACAGGACTAGCATAACCTGGACTAAACATATTTCAATAATATGCAAAAAACGAAAACCATAAACATATTTTATAAAATGCATAACTAATATTTCTTTATCACATAGCAGAAACACGTAACCTCATGAGTGATGCTCATAGTTCTAAGGATTACCCATAATACCCCGTTCCGTCTAAGGTGAATGCGTTGCACTTTTTTACCAGCAGATGGTGCTTTTCAGCAGGATTTAAACAAAACCATTTTAACTATGTTACATATATAAGTGTATTTTTTACTAACAGTCTAATGAACTATACACAGTTAATAACATAGTAATTAAAAGTACCACCGTCTGCTTTGCTATTGGTGTCGTGTTTAAACGGCTCACCATCGTGGTGAAATCTGCCATGCGTTGCGCTATAAATAAGGTCCGGTCAGACAGATTAGCATCAGGCGGGTAAAATAGAAATTTTTGAATCATTACAACTGCAAAGAGATGTCCTAGTCCACAATTGAGCAGGGGGCCAAACAGGAGTCAGTGATGGGGCCCCTAAGCAACTGCAATCTTTGTTTACTGATAGTTGCCCATTGAAGCAGACAGAGCATATTTTAATTAATATATCTGGCCTACTGTCTGAATGATTATTTTTGCAAACTGACTAATGATGAACCAGAATCTGAACAAATATAGATTTTTGGGGCCCTCCTCAGGGCCTCATGTGAGTTAGGACCGCCTCTGATCAGAATCTGATCCCACGTTTTCCTTTAATTTCCCTTAAAAATGTAGGAATATTTTGAATGAAGCTTTTGTTATTCCCTCTCCAGCGTGATGTCAGATAAAGTGAGCGGTGATCCTCCCTCTGTCCCAGCAGTCTGTCAATGATCTGTGTGCTTCTGGGTTCCAGCCTGCGGAGGGCACACAGTCCACCGCGCTGCCCTGATAAGCAGAAGAAGAGCCTCGCTGTGCGGCGGTCCTCCTGCGGAGCTCCTCGGTTAAAGGTGGAGGAAGCAGCATGTGACGCCGCTGAACAAACCAAACCAAGAAGCAGGCTGGCCAGACGCCGTCCTCTCCCCGCCGCTGTTCGCTTTTCCTCCAGAGGGAAGCGGCCTCATTCTGAGCAGGTAACCGCCGGTCGGCCGGCCGGGCAGCTAGCAGCGATGCTAACAGGAGCTAACCCTTCATTTCCGGTCTACCTGTATCTTATGTTTAGCCAAAATTAAACATTTGTTAACATTTTATTAAAACATCTCTTTATGATAAAGTTAAAGTCAATCTGATTTTTTGTGAAAATTATCTTCCTTACAAGGTGCACCTGGCGTGGCCAGATTATCAATCCCATCAGAGGAATGCTATTTCCTGATTCCTCATCCCTTCATTTGCATAGCAGCTGACCGAGTTTCGCAAGGCTTTTTATGTGTAACAACACTCAGACAACCGGTTGGATATGATCAGTCTTAGTCATTGCTTTGTATGGGATGAGGTGACAGAGAGGATTATATGCTCCTCAGCGATCTGCACCTCAGATGGATTCCTCCAATCTGTCAGATTATGGCTTTCCACTTTGTAATGTTTCCAGTTTTAATGGTAGGTTCCTGCTGTCAGTGTTGATGGGGAGTCTGTTGCATCTGATGAGTGTTTTCTGTTTTTTTTTTCTTCTTTCAGGTGAGCAGAGCTGCTCCTTTGGTGAGAATCTTCCCTGCTTGGTGGTAGATGTGAGAAATCAGTCCAACTCATCCAGCCTCACCATGGGTCAGGACCGGGGGAAGTACGACTTCTACATCGGCCTGGCTTTGGCCATAAGCTCCAGCATCTTCATCGGTGGAAGCTTTATCCTCAAGAAGAAAGGACTCCTGAGGCTGGCTAAGAAGGGATCCATGCGGGCAGGTAGTGACCCTTCCCTCCCCTTCAGATCACAGCTGACATCGCATCACTGTTTAAATCTGCCAGTCGCCTGGAGACACTCCCTGCTGCTGATGTGCGTCGCTGACAGCGAGACGAGAAGTCAGACCAGTCAGGAAACTGGCTGATCCCTGCCCCAGTGTATTCAAGGCGTGTTTAAACCAGACCTCTAGTGCAGGGTGTGCTCACATGTATTTGCTTGTCACCAGCAGCATTATATACTGCTGGTAATCATTAATATCCACTTCTGACTTGAACTTTTCCTCAGATCTAAAGGTGATTATGTTTGTTTGAACATTCAGATCACAAAAGGATGTAGAAAAAACATCATATATATATATATATATATATATATATATATATATATCCTAAATTCATTTACACAACATTTGTATGCTGCTCGTTGGTCATGTTTCCAAACTAGAGTCCAAACAACTGCTTAGCAGTATTTTTGAACATTTTTATACAACTTTCTTTATAGTCAAAACCACAAAATAGAAAGAAAAACATTTTAAGAATCATCTACAACCTTAATTTCAAGGCCTTTTTAGATAATTTTTGTTCATGTCACTGAAGAAGCTGGATTCCAGTTTGGAAAAACAAACATGATTATTTTTTTAATTACTGGTTTAGTTTCAGTAGTCTTACAAAACCCTGCTTTGCAAAAATGTTTCAGATGAAATGAGAAGAAGCTTTGCTGTTGCACAAAATTTCAAAATGTTGTGGCTTTTCATTGGATGAGTATTTGTAAGCCTTATTTTGAAAATTGCAACTAGGCGGCCTCATTGGAGCTTTGCAATATGGCATAAAATAGCTTTTTTAAATTAAATTTGTGTATGATTGATTTTATATCCCCCTATTTAGTTTAAATAAAACAAGAAGATAAAAAGAAAAGGAAGGTGGTTTTAGTTGCGTCATTCCTTCTGGGACTGAACCTGAATTCAAAGTGCAGCTAAATCCAAGCAGCTTGTTAAACAAGGTAACAGACTTCGCCATAGTAAACAATGGAAAAATAGAACATGTTTGAAGCTAGTGTTACACAATAAACTGGTCTATTACTCTTAAAAATAAAAGTCCCGGTAGTGCATTGGTTGAGAAAAAAAAATCAATATTCTCCTCCTTAAATGAATCAATAAATCAATTTATGGTAAAGCCCTATGGCTCAGTCATTATCACTTCCAATTGATTTAGATCCGCTCTATATTAGACCCTGATGAATCACAGCTTTAGCCTCGTTTGGAAATGTAAACATTTTGTAGTAATAATCTGAAAATTAGATGACTATTTAGGGAAAAGTAAAGTCACACAAAGGTTAAAGGTCAGAATTAATTTCATTATCAGAGTGGGATTAAAAAAACTAAATAAAGTGATTCTTGTTTATATTTATTCTTTGTTTTATCGCTGTGGTTGACACCAAATCAAATATTTACTATGATGCTTATTTTTTCTGTTTTTCCAGGGCAGGGCGGTCATGCATATCTTAAAGAATGGCTCTGGTGGGCTGGATTACTATCAAGTGAGTGATAATGGATTATTAATCTGGAGCTATAAAAAAAGACACTTAACTGAATTACATCAGTGTTTGTGCTGCAGTGGGAAGGTGTCCAGTTAGAGCACAGTACAATGGAGTCTATTGCGACACATTCTGATGGTATGCTAACTTGGTTTCAGTGGGTGCTGGAGAAGCGGCTAACTTTGCAGCGTATGCTTTTGCTCCTGCAACCCTCGTCACGCCTCTAGGAGCCCTTAGCGTGCTCGTCAGGTATGGCACAAATGATCCATAGTGAACAATTATGCTTTGTTTTTAAAGCATCTTTCTGTGCCCTCTTGGGTTTAAAATTTCCATGACGGGTGTTTTTTTTGTTTTTTTTTTTGCAGCGCTGTGCTGTCGTCGTACTTCCTGACAGAGCGGTTAAACCTGCACGGGAAGCTTGGCTGCCTGCTGAGCATCCTTGGCTCCACCACCATGGTGATCCACGCTCCGAAGGAGGAGGAGATCGCGAGCCTCGAGGACATGGCCAAGAAGCTGGTGGACCCAGGTACGGAGAGAACCAAACCAAAACGTGTTTTTAAATCAGCTGATCGCTGGCATTTAGCAACAATATGGTCACATACATTATTGTATTTGTTAGAATTTAATAGATGTGATAGATGAACATGAAGGGTCAAACTTACGGAGTGCATTTAGCTCCATTATTTAGTGTTGTAAATGGAAATTTGAAAAATATTCAATCCAGAAATGAAACTTTGAAAAACTTAAATAAATTAAAAAAAAAGGTTATGGAAGTAACTTTAAAAAAAAAAAATTCACACATCTACATTTTTTTAGTTTTTACTTTTTAAATATTTTTTCAAATTTAATTTTTTTTAGATTGAGGTAAGTGATTTCCATTCATTCCCTCCACAGATCCCATTCTCTTCACTTGCAGCACAATACAAACACTCACTCTTGACCAATAAAAATGTTGTTGCTAACGTCCATCCAGATCAATGAAAATGCAAATATAAAAGAATCAAATTTGTAAAAATTGAAAGAAAATACTTTTTTTTTTCTTTAATTCCTGGATTGTATGTTTATTTTTTCCCCCCAAATTTACAAAATGTGTTCTTTGCCTGCAAAAATAATGGAACAAAATTCACTCCATAGAAATTGAGGGGAACTAAACAGATTTTCCAAATAATTCGTAGTAGTTTCCATTCAGCTCCTTTGAGTCGTCTTCCTTTGCAGTTCCATCCAGCTGTTCAGGGTCGCTGTCCTGCTGGAAGAAGAAACTCCACAGCTTAAAGTCCTTCAAAGCTTTTTATTTCTAAGTAGCTTCCCTGTCGCCACTGAATAAAAACCACCCCACAGCATAATGCTGCCACTACATGCTTCAGTGTGCTCATGGTAGTATTTAGTGTTGGTTTGCAACAGGTGGCTCAATTTATCAATCTTTATGCTCTTTGTAGAGTTAGCAGCTCCTCCTGAATCAACATGACCCCTGGATGCCGTTGTAATTTTATGTTCTGCTTTCCAATTTTTCTCAGTATAGGTGTATTGTGATATCTCTGTATACAGGGTTTCCACGGCTCATTAATAATCATTCGTTCAATTATTTTTTTAATTAAGGCCTTAATTGGCATTAAAATTCATTAAATGTTATTATCATGGTATTTAAAATGCTTTATTAAAGAAAAAAGTTTTTAAAAATTTCATCAGATATATTGCAATAATATATTTGCGCGGGTCTGATTTTGCTGATTTTTATATACATATATATACGAGAGATACATATATATACGAGAGTCTTGTTGATGGCATTGAAATAATTTCTAAGAGCATTAAAAAGCTTTAAATTAGAGTTACTCAGTCCTGTATAAAGCCTGGTATACTTCCTGTTGTTATATTTTTTATATTTACCAACTCTGGTTGCTTTAAACTTCCTCCTTGACCCGTCTGCTATGTTCCTTATTCTAAATGACACCACGGCCGACAAATGGCTGCATTTAGGGATGTGCAGACCTATAAATTAGCAGACAATGTCCAATTTAAACTGGAATTTAAATGTTCCTTATTGATTTGTGTATCTTTAAAGAGAATAGCTTGCTAAAGTAAACATCCATTTGTTGACCATAAAGTGCTGCTAAAACAATTTTGCATTTTAACATTTTAACTGCTTACTTCTAGGTTGCATGCATGGATCTGCAGCCTAGCTGCAAATCTTTGGTCTGGCTGCAGATTAACTTTAAGCATATTACCGCCATCTAAAGGCTTTGAATGATAAAATGCATGTCTTAGTCAAATTAAATGTAAAACAATCAAAACCTAATTGCTATTGTGATTTTTTTAAAGGAAGAATATGCTATATTTCTTTAATTACACAGTTATGCACCACATCTTTAGCGTCTAGCTCAGGGATTACCAAAGAGGACGCCAAGACACCAATTGGTGGATCACAAGATGGTTTTCAGTCCTTTTGATGCGATCCCTCATGTGTATGAGCAGAATATAAAATAAATTAATGTACCAAATAAATAAATATAGCAAGAAATAATCTGGTGTAACATTTATCTAATATATAAATCTATTTAATCCGTCATTAAACTGTAAAAAAAATGCACCATTAAATAACCAGAAATCCATTTGAAATGAAAAATGACATTTTGAAATATAAATCTATTTGATAAAAATTCATAATTACAAATAATAAACATATATTGAAGTTATTATTTGTAATTATGAATTTTTATTAAATAATAAATATATATTGAAGTTTTATGTATTTGAAATAGAAAATAAAACAATTGTATTGTCTTATTTCAGGTGTATAATACCTAAATCATATTTTAAGGGTAAAAAAGCTCATTCAATTGAAAGATAATCTTATTTTCCTACTCAAATTAAGGTTAAATGCACTTATTTTTATAAATGTTTACTAATTCTCAGAACATTTTTGCAGTGCAGTGATTATGTCTGCTTCATGCGTTGCTTTATTTTCCCTCTATTGTTGTTTTCATTTAACATTTTTGTAATTGAAAAATACAGATTTTTTTTGCTGTGTTCATGAAATGCTGTTATTTGATGGTTTGAAGTCAGTTGTGCATCTTTTCAGTTTTACTCAAAAGCAGTATCTAATCTAAATCCTGCTTTTCTGTTGAATGCATCAGTCTGAAATTTTCTGCATGTTTTTTCTCTCCTACCCACTTAAACCACCTTCTTTAAAACCTTCTCACCTTTTTATTCTTCTACGAATAACTGTTAGCATCTTGAGATCTAACTTTAGACATCTGCGCACAAAATCCTAACAAAATGCCTTAAAGTTAGTGGTTGTAATAACAGGGTTTTTACAGGAACGAGTAACTAATGCTTTTTAATGCTCTTGGAAATAATTTTAATGCCATCAAGAAGTACCCATGACTCTCATTCATATATATATATATATGTGTATATATATATATATATATAAACACAACAAAATCCTTTGTCATCTTTACCGTCTAAAGGCTGCAGCCATGTCCAGAATTCCTCGATTTCCAGCCACTTTTGTTTAAATTTGCATTTCCCCATTCTCTAGCTTTTTCTCCGCCTCAAGCTTCTTTTCCAAATATATACGGCTTTATGATAAACTGGAAGTTCCACGCAAACGCGTGGAAAAATTTAGATCTCATATCTGAGGAAAATAAAGCATTTTAAACGCCAATTAGGGCCTTAATTTAAAAAATATATATATATAATTTAATGACTTAATTATATTAATATATTAATGACTAAGTGTGCTGAATATTTTTCCAAAGGATTGAATATTAAATCTTTTTTTTCTCCTTTTTAAAGGGTTTGTAGTTTTTGCCACCCTTGTGGTCATCGTGGCTCTCATCTTCATCTTTGTGGTTTCCCCCCGTCACGGTCAGACCAATATCCTCGTCTACATCACCATCTGCTCCGTAATCGGGGCGCTCTCGGTGTCCTGTGTCAAAGGACTCGGCATCGCCATCAAGGAGGCCATCGCTGGGGAAAACGTCTTTAAAATCCCCCTGTCCTGGATCCTCCTCCTGAGTCTGGTGGGCTGCGTGAGCACCCAGATCAACTACCTGAACAAGGCCCTGGACATCTTCAACACCTCCCTGGTGACGCCCATCTACTACGTGTTCTTCACCACGTCGGTGCTCACCTGCTCCGCCATCCTCTTCAAAGAGTGGGAGCACATGGGCGCGGGCGACGTCATCGGGACCCTCAGCGGCTTCCTCACAATCATCGTGGGCATCTTTCTGCTTCACGCCTTCAAGGACGTCAGCGTCAGTCTGGCAACCCTGGCCTTCTCAATAAGGAAGGACGAGCGCAACGCTCCGGCAGCCAATGGCACGGCCTCCCATAGCAACTACGAACTGCTGCGGGAGTCCACAGAGGACTTGGACGACAGGGCTTTGCCCTTCGATAGCGTCTCCAGAAGGAACGGAGCAATGACTTCCTCTCTAGATGTTTAACAAACATCTTTCTCCTCAGACTCAACGGTTTGCGTGGTTGCTGTTAGCTTATAAAACAATGAGACAATCAACTGTGAGGGGAGGGGACACAGATGGACCAGTAGATTGTATTTCTTTTAATTTGCCTTAATTTACTCAGACTGTCATCTGGTTAACTCACCTGCGTTCCTCTGTAGCTGTAAATATTTTTTTACAGAAATTCTTTATCTACCTGGATTTCAATGCACTGACTTACTTTCTAGCAATCAGAAATATAAAAGCTAATATGTTCTGGTTTGAGGACCTTCTGACAATGACTTCATCTCACAAGAACTTTATTATGATTGACCTTTTTTTTTTTGTGACACTTGAAAGTGATTTGTTTGGAACGTTCCTGCAGGTGGGTGGGAACTTTTTACAGAGAAACTTGACAAAACAGATTTGTTACATATTTATTGAATTAAAATGATTAAAAGTTTTCAAACACAAGGCACAGTGAATAATTTGACATGGATGTTAATTCTCAGTATTCTCTAAAAACGCTGGAGCATGCATGTTTATAATGTCACCTTTTTTTTCCTTTCATAAAATAGATTCACCTTTTACTGTTTCACCACTGCAAACCCTTAAATACTAATTTCCCTGCCTGAACTACGGCTACCTGCAAGTACAAAATAGCTCTTTTTTTAAAAAAAAAAGGGCGGTATCTATTCTTATAAGGCACAAGTGAATACAAAAAAAAAAAGTAAAGTGGCCCCTTATTGTAGTAAATGGTCCTTATGCCACTGAAGGCAAATGGAAAGTTGTGGAGAATGCCGACGGCGTTGAGGACAGAGGAGCGGTAACTCCTCAGCTGCTGGCGAGCGACTGATGGATCGGTGGCTGGAAGCAGCGGACGTGTTCCACCGGCAGGTTCTCTCCGTCTCCAGACTTCATGTATTTGTTCAGGATGGCAAAGATCTCGTTGTTGAGGACCTGGAATTTGCGGATTCGGTCCACCATCTTCTTCAGAGGCTAGAGAAAGAAAATATTACATTTTCTGAGTTAAAATGCTTTAATTAAGAGCCCCTCTATTTAAAATATTCTAACGACAGATCGGTAACTACAAATCAGAGCATAATTCTTCCCCAAAACTAAGCTGAAATGATTGGATGTAGGGCTGCAACAACGAATCGATAAAAATCGACTTTTAAAAGCGTTGGCAACGAATTTCATCATTGATTAGTTGTCGCGCGATTAATGCATCATCCACCGCCGCCGTCATCACATCCACTTGACTGAAACGGGGGAAGAAAAAAAAAATACGGCAGAGCGAGCCAGCGCCGCAGGTGAGCAAAGGGTGTTTTCAAAAGGCTGTGACGTCAACTCTTCTAATGACCGATACCGT